TGATGAGTGATGAATATTGCTCTTTTGTGTATGTGTCTTTCTTAGTAGGAGCTTCTTGTTACTAGTAGTAAGGATGCTCCTAGTAGTACGGCCAGGAGCCCCTAGTAGCATCCTTGCTCCTAGTAGCGATGCCAGGAGCCCCTAGTAGCGTCCGATCGCTCTTGTCCAACGCATTGTAGCCGAAATGACCTCGTGATGCCGGTGTCGCAGAATCCGCAAGGCGAAATTGACACGAATTTGAGTCTGAGGCAGAGTCGAAAAATAGAGTGTTTCCGCGACCCGTACAGCGTCAACAGTCAAAACAAAAAACCGTCGACTCTGTTAGGAAGGCCTTGGGTCTGAAAACGAACCGGAAGGAAGGCTTGAAAGGCGACCGGCGAGTGTCAAGTTGGACTTTCTAAGGAATAAACAGATCAAAAGAACAATTAATTCTCATTCATATAGTAACAAGGATGCTACTAGTAGCTCCTGGCATTACTACTAGGAACAAGAAGCTACTAGGAGCAAGGCCACTACTATTCGTTTCGATGTGTTTCTTTTTCCGTGAACTTTCTCAAAGTCCTTGGACGACACTGGGGCGCACCCTCGTGATGCGCCTGGCCTGGACGCCAAGCGTCGTCGTGGCGTTGTGTGGTTTCACCTTGTTCGAAAAGACATCAGAAAAGGAGAATTAACATGAAAGAAAAACGGAAAGGTCTAAAAAGAAAGAACTACAACTGAGCGTACTGCCAGGCATCCATTCTCACAAACTATGAAATATGGAGTGCTAGGTGGAGGTGTCAATTCCAAGTCCACTGCAAACTGCTTAAGGTGTTTGACGTGTCAAATAGAAGTGCTGAGCACAGCCCGCATGAACCAAGCGCAAAGCGGTGGTGATTTAAGATGCCGAGTCATGTGCCAATGACGTCAACCTGCATGTGGCGCATCAGAGCTCTCACCAGGAGCCCCTAGTAGCTTCTTGTTCCTAGTGGAAAAAGGAGAGGAAATCAGCCATGGTGAGTCTCTCTCGTGCTCTGCAACATGTTCGACACAAGGCAATTGACACCGCTGGCGTTTGACGTGCCAGGAGCATCACTTGGTGTCTGCTGTTGCTGCAGACAATCCAGCTCTCTCTGTGTCTGTCGCTTCTATGCTCATCCAATAGTCAGTTGATTCTGATCTCTCGCCTGAAGAGATTGGAGCTCTCGCAAGTCCTCCAGCTGTCTTGTGGCGCTTTTGGTTTGTGGCGCAAGTTCTCCAAGAGTCTGTTCTCCAAGCCCTTCAACTGTCTTTCCAGTGTGTGAATCTTTGTGAAGGTCCTTGTTTGCCACTAGTAACAAGAAGCTACTAGTAACAAGTGCCACGCTAGTAGTAACAGGTGCCTTACTAGTAGTAACAAGAACGCTAGTAGAAACAAGTGCCACGCTAGTAATAACGCTACAAGGCAAGCGACATTGAACCACGCTCTCGTCCATTCTGGACTTCTCATCCATGTGTGCTCATCGGTCACCTTGCACTGCACATGTGTGGCAGTTTGTGAAGTTCATTCAGCACGGATTCAACATGAGTTTACCTTGTGGGCTGTCAGGTCTTGAAGAAAAACAGACGAAAACGAAGAGTCGTTGGCTGTTTCCCTTGGCGACTTCGCGGCTTGGACAAATCTGGGACGGTTGGTCGACCCCAAAGACGGAAGAGCGGCACCTGGCAATGATCGCATCATTTGTGCTTGCAACGATCGCATACAAAGTGCTCTGTTCGTAGTAGTAAGGCCAGGAGCCCCGTTCGTAGCGTCCTTCGACTTGCTTTAATGGGTGGTTTTCTGGCAAGTTTGATGTGCCATGGGCAGATGACACGCTGCACATCATCGTGATGATAACTGTTCTTTGATTGGTCAGGTCTTCGCGCTGCTGGGCCCAGCGCTACCAGTTGCACTCGGCCAAAGACTCAGACCACAAGTTCTTTTTTGACGAAATTGAATCTACGCCGGGTGACTAGTAACAAGTGCATCGCTACTAGTAACAAGTGCCTTACTACATCTACGCCGGGTGACTAGTAGCGCTTTTGCTTTGTGAGCCTTTCTACAAGGCCTTCCTTTGTTGGTGTCCCAACATGATTCTGCGGGAACATTGTTGTGGGACACCTCAAAAATGTCCAAGAAAGTGGTAAGCTAACTGTGGGTTTCAAAGTCGGAAGATTCTAGCCGTCGCTCTAAGCCTCACAACAGCTTAACTGAATCAAGTTGTTTGTTAAAGGAGCAAGAAGCTACTAGGGGCTCCTGGCATTGCTACTAAGAGCAAGGACGCTACTAGAGGCTCCTAGGAAGAAGCTACTATGAAGAAGAAGCTAGTAGAAACAATAAGCTACTAGTAACAAGTGCCTTACTACTAGTAACAAGAAGCTACTAGGCTCAAAACCCTGCAGGTGCGGTGCCAAGCTGTGCGATTGCAGGGCAGGGGCTGCAGCCCCAGGAATGCAAAGGTAGAGCGTTTTGAGTCACGAAATCGTGTTCTCCCGTAGCTTCCTTTGCTAGTAGTTACAATGTTACAATTCTAATTAAATTCTTATTGTTACTAGTAGCGATGCACTTGTTTCTATTAGCGAACATTGTAACTACTAGTAAGGCACGGACCCCATGAGTTGTCCACTGATACTAACAGGAGTGCCTCGGAGTGCCTCCATCTCCCAGAATCTATTCCTCTCTCTCTCTGGCTATTGGGTTGGAAGCCGTCTCTCTTAGGTTGGAGGCCATCGCTGGTAGGTTTGAAGCTCTAGTGGCCTTTTTCGATTTGGTTTGCTCAAGAAAGCATCGCGCCTCGCTATCCAACCTGAGACTTACCCTTGCCCAACACGGCGACATCGCAGCATTGCCACGCATTCATTTTGTTTAGCATTGTCGTGTTGAAGGAGTTCCACACGTTCCTTGATCAGTTGGCTTGAGGGTCAAGGTTCTAGCCAGTTAGATTAAGATCACAGAGAAATCTTACAGCGAAGGTATTTTATTGTTTTTCCTCCGCCTTCATTCTTCTTCTTTGCCTGCCTATTTCTTCCTTGAAGCTTTGAAACGTTGATTCGAGCAGGTATGATGACCCGGCCCGGAGCCACAAAACTCGTTTCTTCCTTTTTGCGTTATGCGTTTCCTCAAACGTTGTTAGACACGATTGAGGTGGTTACTTCGGCAAATGGTGGGACAGGCTGGAGAGACTGATTTCTCATGCCCAGTTGCCCAGTCCGCTTTCATCTGGTCAGAAAAGTCTGCCGAGGAGTTAAGAGCTAAGAGTTAACTTTGTTCCTAGTAGAAATGACCTTTGTTACTAGTAGCTTCTTGTTCCTAGTAGTAAGGCCAGGAGCCCCTAGTAGCGTCCTTGCTCCTAGTAGCGATGCCCTTTGCTCCTTCTATTTAAAAGCAATTTTGACCTTTGTCTCATTCTTTCTCTTTCTCCCCTTTGCGTCTGTCAGGCATTGAGGATGCCTTGACTTGCCAGGCTTTGTGTGCCACTTGGAGCAATTGGCGAACGATACAGTGAACGGACAACTGACGGGAACCTTGTGCTTATTCCCCACACAGGTTGCTGGCAACTGAAGGGTTCTTACGGTTAGTAACAAGTTCATCGCTTTTTGGAACAGGTGCATCGCTACTTGTAGCTTCTTGTTACTAGTAACAAGGTGCCTTATTGCTAGTAACAAGGTGCATCGCTACTAGTGGCCAGGACGCTTCTAGTAGCAAGGTGCCTTACTACTATTTAGTTTCCCAAAAATATATGCACCAAATCATTAGTGCGGGGGGAGCCTCCTTGAAGAAGCGTGAGCTCTGCTGCGTCCCAAGTAGTAGCATTCTTGTAGCTACTAGCTACCTCTAGCTACTTCTAGCTACCTCACCTCCCTTCACGTTGACCTGTTGAGTCGTTTCGCGGGTATCGCCTTGCACTCTCTTCGGTCCGGTCTGACTTGGTCACAATTTCGCCGGTGGAGATCGTGGTAGTAGCGCCTTTGCTCCGTTCGTAGCGATGCCCTTGCTCCTAGTAGCGAACATTGCTCCTAGTAGTAAGGCACCTGTTAC